GATTCTATAGGGTAGGAGAAGGGAGGGGAGGGGAGGGTTGGGGGAGTTTATTTTACAGTTGTAGCTCCAAAGGGGGTCTTGCAGTAGTGTTGAATGAGAGCATTTAATAGCCTGAAATTCATCCGATTGCTTCGAGTCGTTTTCTCCTCTCAACAACGTCTGAATCGACCGGCCGTTAATGCCATCCAGTGACGTCACTCACTACCCGAAAACCGGGTAGTGATTTTGATTGGTTGATTGTCTAAACATTCGCATAATTATGTATAATTATGATAAATTTTAGCGGGATTGTCGCTTGATGATTCAGCGGATCGCATCCCTGGCATTCTTTCGTTTAGTTCAAACATTCCCATAAGCTTAATCTTTATCTTAAACACCAAAATTTCCCTTGTTTTCGAAACTGAAATGCTAAATTGAACTGCGAATGAAGAATCATTGCGGAGAGTCGGTAGGTTTTTCATGAAGAGCCGCTTTGTGGTTTCGGCGGCCGGTGATTTTGTTTACGCGAAGTTTTCTGAGATCAATGTTATAACGGTTCTTGCTATTTTTACCGTCAAGTGTAATGATTCTGTTAGCTTTTCTTTCCTGTCTCCTTGTTTTTTTTCTTCGTTAAGGACCAAATAGCTTCTTTTTAATGAAAGCAAATCATCGTGTTTTTGAACAAAGTGTTCCGTGTGTGTGTTTATTTCATTGCGTGATTGCGACAGAGTTTGATTATCAAGAATTTAGTACAACCAGTTCAGAGTTGTACTGCATGCAGTTGATAGTTTGAACGTTAAACATGAATTACGATCCAAAAAAATAAAGCAGTTCTGTATCATGCAGACATTTCCAAACGATATTTCTCGGTTTGCCACTTGAAAATCGTGTTTTACTTTTCGCACGAGTTAAAGCAAAGGTCAAGGAGTAGTGACGTCACTGGACGGCATTAACGGCCGGTCGATTCAGACGTTACTGAGGGAGTAATAACGACTCGAAGTAATCGGATAAATTCAGGCTAAGCATTTAACTAGTCACCAAAAAAATGCTTCCTACCACTCGAATGTCTGTGACAGTTCAAAACTTTAGATCAATATCTCTGTACGTTTTCAAAATATTGGTCTAAGCTGCGGTTTACACTGTTGTTCCTTCAGGAATGTTTTTGATTTTTAAAATATTAAAGTCAGAAGTTGGAAAAAATATATTTGGTGTCACTGTGCCTTTGAAATGTTTGGAGCATTTCATGTTTGACACAGACTTTGTTTTCGTTCTTTCTTACGTTATTTATTCAACGCTACAGGTGAGAATATGTATTATAATGTCATTAAGTGAATGTTACAAACAAAGAAACATAAGATAGAGAAAAGAGAATACTTAAAACATGGCAAATTGGGCACAGATTCTGAGTGGATTTCTTTATCCAGTGGGTTAGTAAATGTGCTACTAAATGTACAGTGGTCTAATCATTAGACTGTACCAATGCTGCATGCCCCACTCACAAATTCCACATTCCCCACAATGAACTTTGTTTGTGTTATGCTCTCCCCACAAAGGCCAAGCATTTTGTATTATCATTGTTTACAATACTTTAATTTCTTGTGCGATGATGAAAAAAGGCTGCAAAATTCCTTGTGTTTGGGAGTAAGCGTCACACAACCAAAATGTATAACGGGAAAAGTGGGAGTGGTAAGTATTACAAATAAGCAATCCTCCTGTACTACACTCATCATAGTTAACACTTCAGGCTTCTCCTTTTGAGATGATAACCAGTGAAGTTAGCATGTCGTATTAACATCCAAAATACGCTGCAATTCGTGAAAAATAGAAAAAAGAGAAATATGCTACATAATTATCTGGTTTAAAAAGTGGTTTGACCTGTTTCCCTAAAAACAGGGGAGAACCCTTCAGATTCAACGATATAATATGCCGAAAAATGACTCAAATTTACCTTTACATTTTGCATATACCTTGACAAACTCCAGAAAAAAATGCATATGCTCTGGCCTGCAGTTCCTCGAGACCTGAAGGAGGCTCAGCAAGGCTCATGATGGTATCTGCACTCAAAGGTTCTGGGTTCTTTGTTACAAACAATGGCTTCCACAAACTTGGATTTCCTTTAATCATCCCCATCAATCCAAAGTAGTCCAGACCTTCTCTAAAGTTCTGGAGCAGGTGAAGGCGTTTACCAAGAAGCTCTTCCACCAGCATACATGTCACAAAGTCGCCTTTAGACTTGACATTTAAGACTCTACAAAAGGCCAACCAGATGTATCAATTACAGTGCTGAACTTGGGTTCATCACATAGTCTGTGGATGTCCTCATCAGTTTGGCCATCTCCAACCTTTAGCAAATCTTTTTTCTATGTGGTCAGGAGACAAGATGGACGCAAAGTTTTGAGCTCTGTCTCTACTGATCCTTTAGACGTTTTTGCCATCTAATTTCTAAACTATTTTACCCCGATACTATTAACTAATACGTCTAGAGAGACCATTGCTTCTCTTAAGCAACAAAACCAATCACTTAAACAGCAGGTTGACGCTCTGTGCAAAGAAGATAAGTCCTTGAAAGAATCGTTTGCCGCCACAGAGGCTGTTAATGAAAACAGAATCACTTCAGTCACTAATGTCCGAACGTCGAAACTGCTCAGAGTTTGCAATACTTGAGCGACGAGTATGATGACTTGTCAGCTTCTAACTCTAGTATCTCGGTACAGCTTAAGCAAATATCTCACCGCCCTAATGTACTCAGTGTTCAAGTGGAACGTGTTGCTAATGCCATTAATGATGCCGAGAAGTACAGTTACCAGTTCAATGTAAAAATAATTGGTCTTCAGGAGTTGAATTCAAGTGAAACTGCCCCCAAAACAAGTTCTCTCTGTGTAAAACTCTTCCAGGAAATGGGAGCTGAAGTATCCATTCTTGACATAGATATAGCACATCGTGCATCAACAAGGTACGAAAGCCAAGGTCCAAAACCTGTGGTATGTAAATTTGTCAGGCGTTTGGCGAAAGGGAAAGTTATGGAAGTTCGTCAACGTGCCTCCCAAGTTAACCCCACAAGTATCGGCTTGTATGCTGAAAGCGAGCTTCGCAGAGCAAGAATCTTCAATCATCTTACCCCAAAGAAGCAGAACCTGTTATTTGAGGCGAAAAAATTCAAAGAGCGGAATCATTATCAATTTTGTTGGGCTAAAAACTCCACCATTTATCTAAGAAAGGATGAGAGCTCCCGTGTGACTAAAATCTCGGGCACTGATACACTACGACGTCTTGCACTGGATACGAAATCATTACAAGTTAGATAAGTATCTACTATTAATGAATCTTGGTTTCATTCAAGAGTATTAATGATCAGACCGCTCGTAGTACTTACTCTTTATTTCGTGGGCTTCCACACTTTTGGCAAAATATTTTCTTATCTCACGGTCAATTTAATAACTGCATACCTTCTCATTTGCCAGCCAAAAAGTATCTGGGAAAGCTTACTAGTGTTTACGATCTTGATCTTTTCAGGCTCACTGCAGCTAAAACCCTTAATCCTGATAATGATAACCTGTGCTACAATCGTATTCAGAGCCGTTACTACTCTCCACATAGCTTCAACAAATTTCAAACTGAACTTCCTAGACGTGCTAGTGATTCATGTTTCTCTGTTCTACATAATAATGTGAGGAGCCTTAGGCAAAACCTTGAAAACTTCCAGGTCCATCTATTAGATGAATTGAACTTTGATTTCAGTGTTATAGGAGTTTGTGAAACCAAAATAATCAGTGGAAAAAACTTGGGATTTTAATCCAAACATACCTGGATATATTTTTGAATACACTCCGACACCTCTTGCGTCTGGAGATGTTGGTTTGTATATTAATGAATCTTTGAAATATACAGTTATTGAAAAAACATCAAGTGAGGCTTTCCAGGCGCTATGGATTGAAATCCATTCCCCACAAAAATGTGACATCATCTAGCTGATTTTTTGAAAACATACCTCAAAATGGGCCAGAATATTTGCACAGAAAGCTGGCGATAGCCAGGTTTCTGGTCACTGCGGTGAGAAAAAACATTGGGAGCTTGCTGTCCTGGTTGGTCTCATTGTCAAGCTCAGTCCCTGAGCTAACTCGCCATGGGTTGGAAAGGGGCCTCCATGTCAATCCCTAGGGGGGGAGGGTGCTGCAAAAGGATTGTACCTTCCGTTAGTCTTGCTCTGGGAGAGTCAATGCACTGGTCATGTCTGCCTTTAGTTTGTCATGTCAAATTCTTGTAACGTTTGAGGCCCATTGGCCAATGAAAGCATTCCCCTCAAGCACGTGCTAGGCTGGGGGGGTGGAGGAAGTCAGAAGGGGTGATTTAACCTCGAATTCTCTCCTTAGAACTTGGTTAAGTCTCAAGCATCTTCTATCATTTAGGGCCTTTAAGCAGCTAGAGTGTATGGACAAGTCTAGAGTGTCTTTTTGATGGACTTGAATGTTTCTTTTGCTAATCAGGAACCAAGAAGAGAGTCACCTTAAGAGAACTATGGGTAAGAGCTGAGTTTCTTGGCGATATTTACTTTAGTTGAGTCAGTTTGGCTCCTGGAGTCCGATGGTACGGTTTTCATAAATCCGGCTCAGCATAATTCTCCGCAACGCTTCCAAGAATATTTTGACAATACTCTTGAGAAACTAATAGCTTCAAACAAATCAGTTTATATTATGGGCGACTTCAACATGAACCTCCTTCACACCGAAAGCTTCCGTTATGCTCAGGAATTTTTACTTTCTCTGCAGAGCTTTTCATTTACACCAACTATTAATAAACCAACACGTGTGCAATAACAGCTCTGCCACCTTAATCGACAATATTTTGACTAACAAAGTTGATGCTAATATCACCAGTGGCAATATTGTCTCTGATATCAGCGACCATTTTTCACAGTTTTGCGTCTCCCACACTTTCTTTAAGAAGCTGAAGTTGAAAAAACAAAAGCGCAGAGATTTTTCTGGTTTCTCCGTTAATAGTTTTAACTATGAACTCTCGGAGGC